CGTAGTGTACCCACACGCATTGCCTTTTCTTCTTTCTTCTCTTTCAACATTTCAACATTTGAGTTATGGTCTGCTCAAAATAGGCACCATTTCTTCCTCCTCTTCCCAGTTTCCTGAGTTCTTCAGTGCCCATCTACTCTCAGGTTTCTCTTTCTTTCTTATTCTTCTTTTGGGTTTTTTTTTGTAATTTTCTGTAATTGACTCTTTGTGGAACACTATACTTAAAATCGCCATTTTATCCGGCTAGGTGGGTAGGAAAGTCTAGTGACGTGTTGTATTAGTTCCCTGGTTTTGCATTTCTGCAATTTGTTGGATACATCTTTGTTTGTTCAACAACTCTGATAAAAGTTAGACACTCAAACTCATCTTTATTTACTTAGTGACATTGTCCACATGATGGACAGACCTCTGCTTCTTTCTCAATATCTTTGAGAAAAAGAAGTTGCTTTTTTTTTTATGCTCATCAAAGTTTTGTGTTAAAGTTTGGTTCTTTAGCTTTATTCCTTTTGCTTTTTTTTTTAGTTGGATGCTTCAATCTCTTATCTTAGCCTCTTGGTTTGTTTAATCTCTCAATGATAAAGATAAAGATAGGCAATTGCATACTTTTTTCTTGAAGATCTAACTAGTATCTTTATTTGTTTTTTCTGATATGCTTATTTTTTTCACAACCATAGTAGTTATCATCTTTCAATGTTGTAAACCAATCTAAGGAGCTGGCCAAGCAAGCCTCCTTTCCAGAACTAGGTGTTGCAATATTGGCTTGTGTGGTGAAAGTCACTGCTCATCATCTTCTCCTTTCTGTCTTTTGAAGCAGGAGGGACAAGAAGTCATGCTTATGATGCAGCTCCATTTCCAATTTGGTCTTGTCTCTTTCTTGTTTGTCACAACTACTTTCTGCTCTTCTGCTATTGCGGATCTGAACTCGGATAGGCAAGCTCTTCTTGCCTTTGCTGCTTCAGTTCCTCATCTTAGAAAGCTCAACTGGAATTCTACTAACCATATCTGCAAATCATGGGTTGGTGTCACCTGCACTTCTGGTGGTACTCGTGTTCTCGCTCTTCGCCTACCTGGAATTGGGCTTGTTGGACCAATCCCTCCAGACACACTTGGTAAACTAGAGTCACTGAAGATTCTCAGTTTGAGATCAAACCTCCTCAGTGGTAACCTTCCTCCTGATATTTCATCTCTCCCTTCACTACATTACCTCTTTCTCCAACATAACAACTTCTCTGGCGAGGTTCCTTCCTTTTCATCCCCACAACTCAGTATCCTAGATCTCTCATTTAACTCTTATACCGGGAAGATACCAGTAGCTTTACAAAATCTAAAGCATTTGACAGGTTTGAGCCTCCAAAATAACAATCTTTCTGGACCAATACCTAATCTTGACACTACAAGCCTGAGACGTTTAAACTTGAGCAACAATCATCTTGATGGTTCAATACCCTCTGCACTTGGTGGGTTTCCAAGTTCATCGTTTTCTGGTAACACATTGTTATGTGGACTTCCTCTGCAACCATGTGCCTCTCCCCCTCGCCCTTCTCCTCTTACCCCGCCCGTCTCTTCACCTCCATTGCCGCCGTTTCCTCACAACAAAGAAGTTTCAAAAAGGAAATTACATGTAAGCAGTATCATTCTTATTGCAGCTGGCGGGGCTGCCCTGCTGCTGTTTATCACCGGAATCATCTTATGTTGCTGTATCAAGAAAAAGGACAAGAGAGAAGACAGCATCGTAAAAGCAAAGACTTTGACTGAGAAAGCAAAGCAAGAATTTGGAAGTGGAGTACAAGAAGCTGAGAAGAATAAGCTAGTGTTCTTTCAAGGATGCTCCTATAACTTTGATCTAGAGGATTTATTGAGAGCATCAGCGGAAGTACTAGGAAAAGGTAGTTATGGGACAACATACAAAGCTGTCTTAGAAGAATCCACAACTGTTGTTGTAAAAAGGTTGAAAGAAGTAGCAGCTGGAAAGAGGGAGTTTGAACAGCAGATGGAGATTATCGGTCGGGTAGGGCAACATCCGAGCATGGTTCCTCTCCGTGCATATTATTATTCCAAGGATGAGAAGCTCATGGTTTATGATTATTACCCTGCTGGTAACTTAGCATCACTCCTACATGGTTAGTCTTCTTCCCATCTTTGTTTAATGGTTTATCTTTGTCTTGTTGGGTTACTTACGAATATCTTGATTTTACAGGTAACCGGGGAGGTGAGAGAATGCCTCTTGACTGGGACTCTAGAGTGAAAATCACACTTGCAGCAGCAAAAGGTATAACTCACATCCACGCAGTTGGAGGTTCAAAGTTCACTCATGGGAACATAAAGTCCTCAAATGTGATCATGAAGCAAGAGACCGAAGTTTGCATTTCTGATTTTGGACTCACTCCTCTGATGGCTGTGCCCATTGCCCCAATGAGGGGTGCAGGTTACCGTGCACCAGAACTAATACAAACAAGGAAACATACACATAAATCCGATATTTACAGTTTTGGTGTACTTATACTCGAGATGTTAACTGGGAAGTCTCCAGTGCAGTCGCCAAGTCGGGAAGACATGGTTGATCTTCCTAGATGGGTGCAATCAGTGGTGAGAGAGGAGTGGACAAGTGAGGTGTTTGATGTTGAACTGATGAAGTTCCAGAACACTGAAGAAGAAATGGTACAGATGCTGCAGGTTGCTATGGCTTGCGTGGCTCAAATGCCCGAGGTACGACCCACCATGGATGAGGTGGTTAGGATGATTGAAGAGATAAGAGGTTCAGACTCTGAGACCCGGCCATCTTCTGATGACAATAGCAAACCAAAGGACTCCAATGTTCAAATCACCCCTTGATTTCTCTTTCCCTTTATGCTTTTGAGTTTGTAAGTGTTTTAAGGCTTTTTCTGTTGATTGTTTGGAGATCACACAACTGAGGAGGTGTGGGTGACATCTACATAGCAACTACTGTAGGATCCTTTCTATGTGTCCCATGACATATATATATGTATGAATTCGATCCAACAAATGATATTAGTACAAAAGATGAACTTGGAGAAGTTGTTCCAAACTGAAGGAACATTTTAAAAAGCCGAAATCTGGAATCTGATAAATAATAGAACGAAACTGAAGCAGTCAAAACAATGCAAGAAACAAATAACTAGTTTTCAAACTCACAAGTAAAGAGATGGTGCAAAAAGCATGAAAAAGCTGAAATCCCAAATAGAAACCAGGAGGATGATAATTGACTAGCAGTTAGATTCGAAATAAACAAATCTGAAATCATCTCTTTCTTTCCTTGTGCGCGGTTGGTTGATTTGCACAAAGCTCGGAAGATAAGGAGAAGAGCACACTAGTGCAGGATAAAAAGGTGGCATGTATTTGGCGCAGTCAACGGCATATGTAGCTGCTCCTAGACGCACAATTGTAAGACTCGAGTTATCTCGACTTGATTGAATAAATCTACCTTTTTTATAGATATATCATCAATGAACAAAGCTTGGAATCCATTGTCATGAACCCTAAAAACTGATGCCTTGTCGATGCCGCTTTACCCAAAATCCGTTCTTTGGATATCGCGTCCCATAATTTGCAAGTGGATCGCACATCTCTCAGAGATGTTGTCGGAATGTTCGTGAGTATCTTCTCACCTACAAGCTTCGGTGGAAGATCTTGCATCGTCGTCAACGACATTCTTCCAACTTGAAAACCCAAGAGGCTGCGAGCAAATAATTAGGGTTTTCTCTCTCTCTATATATGTACTCTGTTTTTTTTATTGCTTTTCCTGACGTGGAATATACGCTCTATTGATTTTCCTTACGTGTAAATATATTCAATTTAAGAAAAAGGCAAATATAAAGGTGAACTTGGAGGAGTTCCAAAAAGAGAGATACATAAAGAAGAATCAAGGAGAGATAGATGAGGCTGCTTGAAGAAGGAATTGATAGAGAAGTTGAGGTTGTGAGAAAAACGCAGAGTGATCACTGTCTGGAAGAAGGAATTGATGAGCAGGAGGCCATAAGCCCACCATTAAGTCTTGAAGAAATGGTTGAAACAAATGGTCATTGCCTGTCTTCATGTACACCCTTGGGATTTTGTCGATCTCTGCTGCTTCCGGAATATTCATTATGCCTGCGAATGCCATGACAGGGGCCGGACGCAGAAGCGTGGTGGCCAGTGTGTAATCCTGATCATAC